ATTTAGATTCTAAACAGTTCACTTAGAATAATAAATACTGTATGTAAAACAATTTCAAGTTTCTCACTGAATGTTTTGATTAATCATTTTCCCACTTTGGGAGGACACCAAATCCTAATAAACCATTATACTCTGTCCTTTTTTCTTATTGATTTGTTTTCATTAGTCAGTTAGATTTTATATTAAATGTATTACTATTATATAATGGTCTTTTAAAGATTAGGATATTTGAAGTTGGTGAAATTGGTTATTTTGTTCACTATTTGATTATAAGTTATTTTTTTGGGGGGAAGGTATGGTGCTGTTTGCCATGGAAAGATCTGGGCATATCAAGATTGGACTGCCCCCAAATAATTACAATGACAACTTCAGTGAGTATTCGAAGTATGTGGGAAATCTGCAAGGCATCTCTCACGTTGCCTTCAGCCCTCAAGGAACAATGTTTGCAGTCTGTGATGCACCGCTGTATTCTGGGTCTCCTCCAGCGAATCCAGATGAGAACTGGCTGAAGCAGAAAGCTCGGTGTGTAGGAAGGTCTGGGTGGGATCAAGTTCATTCCTTCTTCTTCCATCCAAACGGCGCACTCTATGTTGTCATGAAGAGTGGTGAACTGTACAGGGGTCCCCCTCCTGAGAATGAGTACGTGTCCTGGATGTAGAGGGTTGCTATGAAGATAGGAACTGGAGGATGGTGCTTCCCTTCTCTGTTCCTTGACCCTGCGGGTATCCTGTATACTGTGACCACAAAAGGGAATCTGCTTAAAGGAAGCTTTCCGAATGATATGAACTACATCAGTGAGATTATTGGAACTGGAGGCTGGACAGAACTTACCCATTTCATGGCCTTCTCTCCTGATGGCAATCTGTGGTGTGTCTCCAAGAATGGAGGGAAAATCTACACTGCCCCACCACCCAGGATTGCCAGTGATAACTGGATTGGAAGAGCACAGAATCTTGGATCTGGCTACAATCAATTCCCAATCCTCGCCCTCACGCAAGATAAAACCATAAGTCAAATTTTAAGTTTGGATTTTTCTGTTAAAGATTCTTTCAAAAGAACCTCTGACAGTTGGGCAACATGACTGTAACAACTCTACCGGCTCTGTTCCTTACACTGCAACTTTCGAGTAAGTGCTGCATTCTAAGTTGTATTTTCATTGTTCTGTATATCACAAAATACACAATGCTTTCGAAAAATACACACAAAATACACTGCCAATAGATCTAAAACTTAAATTGTAGGACTGCTGGTAATCCTTTGGCAAACTTAACACAAAGATGTTTAAGGGTAACAAAATTTGAATTTAATGATGTCTGAACATTTATTATGAAATGAAAAATCTACCTTTAGATTCATTTCTACATATATGTTCAACTATAACCTGTCAGTAAATCACTTGACTGTCAATTTGACTTTAAGAAATTTTAAAAATGTTATAGAAGTGGGTAAGAAGAATCACCACACTGCAACACAACTGGCAGCCCAGCAGGTGTGAGCCTGTATGGGAGACCTCCGGAGAAAGCTAAGGATGCTGCTGGAAGAGGTGTTAGTGGGACCAGTGGGGGGTTCCCACCCTGCAGTCTGTGTGGGTCCTAATGCCCCAGTATAGTGACGGAGACACTATAATGTGAGACGGATGAGACATAAAACCGATGCTCTGACTCTCTGTGGTCATTAAAAATAACAGGGTGTTTCTCAAAAAGTGCAGGGGTGTTACCCTGGTGTCCTGGAAAAATTTCAGATTGGCACTTAACAATCATGGCCTCCCAGTAATCTCCATCTATGAACTGACTGTCACGCTCCACACTCTCCCTCGCAAACGACGTTACATTCCCGGAACCTCTGCTTCCCAATCTCATCCCTGATTGAACCCAGCACATTCTCACATGCATCAGATTCCTCAAATTCTCACTCCCTAACCAATCATCCAATCACACCCCTTTCCTTCCAGTATTTAAGCCCCCTTCGCACACCTCCCCACGCTCACTATTGAGAAGCCTTTCTTAGTGTTCTCCAGTGTGTGTTTCCAAACCTTTTGAGTGCTCTCCCGTTATGAATCTTCTGCTTCTGCCTCTTGACCTCACCTTCTAGATTTTGTCTTTTGAATTGTTTTTGAATATCTCTCGTTACCGGACCCTCTGCCTCCCTTATCGACCCATCCTTTGGATTTTGTCTTTTGGATTGTCCCTTTGCTATTCTGCGTCCTGTGGGATTCCGGTCACGCATAAGGATCCTCCTATTCCACGTATAGGTTCCGTGGCACTGACTTAATCTCTCTGTTCTCCTCCCCACTGAGAGCTGTTGTGTGATGAGTGTATTGGTGCACTCTGGCAGAACTACTCATTGGTGGTAGTGGAGGGGAGTCCTTGTTACTTATCATCATCATCATTAATGTACTGCAATACATTTGGAAAAACTACCAACTTACCTTCCTGTCCACTCTATATATGCTGAATTTAATGATTTTGTCATGTGGGCTTGAGGAGAATTAGAATGTGTGACAGGAAAGATGAAGGAACACCACCAGAAGATACAAAAATTACTAACATTGCAAAAGATCAGCCAAAAACTTGCAAAGAAACTACTTTGAAACTGTTGAATCCTGAGTTTGACTCTAGCCCAGTCCTCCTCCGTGAGGATTTTGCATGTTCTTCTCATGGTCAATGGCTTTACTTAGATACTTTATTGATCCCGTGAGGAAAATTACAGATGCGCCATCAGCTGTCTGTATCTGGGAGGTTCCACACCTGGAGAGTGTCAGCAGGTTTGGGTAGGCTTTAGTCAGCCACAATTTGAGCAAGTAGTAACAACATGAAAAAACCCTCTCTTCACTATCTCTGAAGTTAATGAAATTTACCCGGCTGGTATATCAGGCGAGTACTTGCACAAGTCCTCCTTCTCCCAGTGTGGTGCAGCTAGGTTGATACAGTCTGCAGCTTCGAAACAAGAAGTTGTAAAATAGAATGTGATTTGTTTTTCAGGTTTTCTGAAACTATTTCCTTGGAAAGCTTTCACCCATTCTCAGTCAGGAAACTGAAAGGATAAGTACTGGAGTATGTCCAAGTGTACAAGCTGACACCTAGGATGTTACAAATCTAACAATGCTGAGCACTAAAAGCAGGGTAAATCAACCTTATATACAAGGAAGTGAACAGTAAACCAATTCTGATTGGCCACCGCATAATCAGCAACACTCAAAGAGTATTCTGACAATTAACACTTCCTGACAGATGACTCTTAATTATTTATCCAGAACTTAACTAACCAAGGTAAATCAGAAATTTATTTCATTATATCTCAGACTTAGTATAACTCAGGAAACACCCCAGTTCCTTTCTTTCTTTTGAGCTCTCTGAGAACTGCGAATGCTTATAAGAGCCAGGTGTTAATTACTAGATTCCTAAGAGAGTTCAATAGTCACATCCAATAACCATAACAATCAAATTAAAAATTAACATATAATCTTATCTTGAAATACTATAAAATCAAAGTAAAGATTAAATCAGCTGAAAATTATTTTGCTTGTTCAAAAATGTATTATTAATATCACCTAAATGAATGCAGATTGTTTCCTTTTTCTAAAGCTGTACCGTCTTTTCCCACGAGCTGTGTCTTATTTTTGTGTGCACCCATCCCTCGATTTATAATACCTGCTTTATGAATTTTAGGTATAGCTTAGCATATTTTCA